CAATCATAATGTTGAAGATTATCACTTAGTATTCGATGATTTATTATTCAAACTCAATACCATCAATCTCCAATAATTGACTGCAACGTCGGGTAAACACGCTGTTATTAAAATCTCATTTCGAGAACGGTTAAGACTGCGCAAACCTCAATCGTGCCGCGAATCGTATGCGAATTTTATGCGTGAGAGAGAAAGAGAGCGACTACCCTTAATGTTCAGATAATGCGCGACCTTTAACGCTTCGCTGCTGACTGGGAACCTGTAAAAGTGCGATTTAACACAGCAAATCGTTCTCGCAAGAAGTATGAGAGATCTAATCGTGAGAGTTGCGACGGTAATTTTCCTACGCCAACGAGCAGAATAATTCGCGCAAAACTTGTGGACGAACCTTAGAGCTTGTGGACTCAGGCTGGGAAGGCTGAGAAATGGTGGAAAATTAGAAACGGCCATAATCAAGGAAACTGTTCCAATCGAGGCTTGGCGGCTGCCTTAACTTAAAAGAACTATCCTCGCTTTGACAACCCTAAAACTTTTGATCGTTTAACGTGTAATTCTCTTTCGTTTTGGCGCCCGATTCTCGCGCGAGTTTGAGGTGCCGCTTTTCAGGGAGGAACGAGTTATTCCCTCACTTCTAGATTTCTTCGTGTCTCGAGGAAACTTTGAGGAAACTTTCCGAATTCGGTCTCTTCGATCTTACAATTCTCTTTAATGCGAGAGGGGCTTTTCATAGCCCTTTTCTTCCCTTCTTCTTCCCTCTTCTTGTCTCTGGGGACATTCATAAATCATTTTCTTTCGTCGCGAAATCCATCTCCGCCCCCGATTATCCTCCTAGCAACGAGAGCAAGATGGAACCAGCCAAGGAATTACTTTCTTTCGTGACCTTTGTCAGGTGGAATGCACTAAGCCACGTCAATGAATCGCACTTTACTAAGTCTTGAGACGAATGAGTATATCCGACATAAAATCAAATCAAATTAAAGAAAGATACAAGGAGAATTATCAAACATTCTTTCTCTCAAGGCGCAAAATCGAAAGAAAAATTTCATCGTTTATCTTTCTTCAATACAAACTAACGGGGTAATCATTATATTCATTGTTTCGTTATTTCATCACTATATAAATATGTATATTTCAATACTAAATAAATAAATAAAGCTTCACTGCGAGACTCGGTTTGATGGACATCTGCATATATTTAGGTTAGGTAAGAGTGTCTTTCTTGAAATGTATCGGAGAATGAATCAATACAAATGTGACATTCAAGTGGCGTCAGTTATTTTTGCATGAGATCGTAACGATATATTTCAGAATACATGGGTATCCTACGTTAAAATCAGAAAAAGTCGATGTTTGTGGCACTGCTTAATTTTATATATCATATATACAGGATGTCCCAAAATAATCACCAAATATTTCATAGGCAGGTAGAATGGACTAAACTGAATCGAAAAGTCCTCTTCCATTTTGCAATTTTCGCAATAGTTAACAAGATATTAATTACTAAAAATTGCCAAAAATTGGTCTTCAATAATTTTTTACTCAAATTCTATCAACTTTATAGAAAAAACTGCAAGAGACAAAAATCATTTAATTCCTTCTCATAGAACTTTAAAAATTTTTTCAAAATTTTTTCAGAATTTTTTAATATCGTATTTTCTCATGTTGATAAAAATTAAAAAATGCAATACTAAAAAGTTGATAAAAAAATTCTAAAAAAATTCTTATAATTTTATGAGAAGAAAATAAATGATCTTTTGTAATTTTTCTGTTGATAGTATTTGAGTAAAATTATTCAAGACTTATGTTTGACTAATGTTAATTTTTAGTAATTAATATCTTGTTAACTATTACGAAAATTGCAAAATAGTAGAGGACTTTTCGATTCAGTTTAGTCTGCTCTACCTGCCCATGAAAAATTTAGCGATTATTTTGAAACATATATATATATATATATATTTTTTTTATATACACATATGTGTATTTTTATATACATATATGTAATCTCCATGACACTTAATAACGATTTCATGTCAACGCAGCACGCGGTTCCGGGTAGAATATGCAATTACGATTGCCGTTATTCTCGTCGCATCCCTGGCGTCGTACGTAGCAGATCCAACCGTCGAGGCGATAAATCGCGAGATTTATGTCGACAAATTTGACAACAAACCGTGGAATAGCACTCACTGATCCTGGAGAACAATGCCGAATCGGCGTCTGATTTGCATTTATGAAAAGGGCAAAATACCCGCTGTCCGTATTAATTAACTCTCTGTAGCGAGAGAGCTATTATTTATGGAGAATAATAAATCGCGGCGTCCGATATAGTACACGAAATATCATCGGCGGAAGATCGCGGAAGACTAAAGCTGGTTAAAATTTTATTTAGTTTACGAAAATAGAGATCCAAAAACGAAAATCTAATTTCATATTCGTAAATGTTCCGTGGCATACTGTCGCGACCTGATATTCTATCGATGTCTAGTTCGACCATTGCCGTTATCTAGAATCCGGAGGCGCACGTCTCACCCGAGACGAGAAATTCATGGTGTGAGCACGCAAGCACGACAACTATGTCCTCGATTGCCGTCTCGACGGAAAATCGTGCGAAGGGAGAGACAGAAGAGACAAAGAGAGAGAAGAGTAGGGAGGGAGAGAGAGAGAGAGAGAGAGAGAGAGAGAGAGAGAGAGAGAGAGAGAGAGAGAGGAACAGAAAGGTGGGGCATTCGCGAACACGACGAACGGAAGTCGGCCGCTAAGGTAGCAACGGACTCTATTCCGGGCTTCCCGATTCCTGAAAGCCTGAGGGTGCTGCAAGCTCGACTCTATTGATTTCCCACGTTAAAGGGAAACACTCGGTACGCGTAGGCTTTGTACATTGAAAATCCAAACGCGAAACATGACAATAGTTTCCTCGATATTTCCTGTTCGTATTCTTTTGACATATAAGCATCTACACAATCAATCTTTTTATACAAGCTAAAAAGAGATTATACATTGCTACTTATTTTAATATTAAAATTAATCAATTACTAATATGTAAAATTAATTATTAATGTATGAAATTTGTTCTCTTTATAGATGTTTATCTTCAAAAAGATTTCCAAGGAGATAATATATTTTATATTATATTATAATATAAAATCACGAAGTTTCAATGAGCTTTTCAAATATATTTTGTAATAAACTTTTTATAAATATTCTTTTTAATGTGTTTCCAAACACGTTTAATTTTTTTCCACATTTATAAACCAATTATACAGTCAATCGAATATTTGAGACCAGAGAATTTTCAGTTTTATTTTATAATAGAAGTATCAGGGTGATTGTTACGACGTAATGAGACTGGGTTTCGTTTAAGATATTTTGCGCAATCGATAATCGATGTCCTATTTTCCATACCGCCGCTTATCTATAAGCTCAAGTAACACAATAACCGCTGATAACGGTTGCAAAACAACGATACGAATACTTTCGCGAGCATACATCCCAACAATACCAATAAATTATTGAACGTACAGAAATTTAATGAAAACGTCTGGTAAAATGTATCACATTTGAAATCACGATGTAAATCGGCAAATCTTCTATCCCACTATCCACTAATTGAATCTTTATATATATAAATCTGACGTGGAGTGAGCGACGAGAGTGAGCGATCAGAAGGTGCTTGTCTCGTGCATTCACACGCCGACAACGTGATCGTGAGTGTATACGATGAGATACGCGTTGCGAAAGCATACCAAGACACGATTACCGGCGGCGGTTTCCTTTCGGAATGGCACATCGACTCGATTCCAATTACGGTTTACCATGTGACGGCCGCAAACGCTATCGTCACGCGCGAGGAAGATGTTTGCTTCCCCGCGACATTATCACGCTTTAATTCGTGACTCTTGGTCGCGCGAATCATTTCGCCGATAAATGCCTCGCAAAACATCGTCTACTAGTTACTGCAGCGTTGCAGAAATTTAGATTAGCGCCAGCTCAGCGGCGTCGCCATAAATATTGGACGTCATAAAGTGCATACGTTAGTGCAACCATCTCTCTATTTTTTTTCCTTTTTTTTATGTTTAGACCGAGGTACTAATTCAAGCTATGAAGAACATGTTTTAAAGACTGAAATTGAAACGGAAAATTTGAGAGATTTGAAACTCGAAATAAATGTGCTCTTTTACTTATTGAAGTGAATTATCACTTCAATGTACACAAGCGAATATTGCAAATTTTAATGTGTACTCTTATAAAAGAAGTGTTTAATTTTAAGATATTAAAATGTTTTAATTTTAAATTTTTTCGATTAACAAAACACTATGTGTTTGGATTTAAAATACTAAAATGGTTAAAATTAAAATATCTTTTATTATTAAACGTTTATTTTGAGATGTTTTAAACGTAAACATTTTTTAAACACTGCACTTTTTACAGTGTATAATAAATGCCCTTGTATGCATGTATATTTAGTTTTCCATATAAAAATAACACTGCACTACACGTTTGAATAAATTGAAACAATACTTCACGTTTAAATGTGTAAATTCATTTGTGTATGCAGTCTAGTGTGTTATTTTTACACAAAAAATTAAATCATACACATATAAAGGCACTTATTACATATTTAGATTTGCAATATAACATTATTGTATGCACGATCTTTTTCGTTTTTCTTTACCATTACTGATATAAAAAAATATGTGAATAAATTGAAAATAAAATAAACTTTTTCTGAATGAAATTTGCGAAAATTTATAAAATATTAACGCATTTATTGAATGCACAAATGCGGTTATAAAATAATTTTATATAATATGGAAAGTAGGTTGCCCGGTAAACATGGGTTAAGTCAATTTTGTTGTTATAACGATTTAAATACATTATATACATGAGGTATTATATATGGAATATAAAGACGCGTCAATACACACTTACTGTTTATGATACTTGCCGATCGTAAACTATGCAGAACGTTTAATAATAGAACGAAATTGGATTTCACTCACCACAACGAGCGCGTGCGTCAGAGCAGTCGATGACCTCGACCTCCTTGGTGTCATGCCGACGACCTCGCCCCTCATGATGCTCTCGACGACTGCGTAAGAGAGAAAAAAAAGCGACTTTCAGTACACTTCACAATTATTCCACTTATTCGACGACATTACTTATAAAATTTTAATTAAATATACATTATTTAAAAAATTAAAAAAAACTGTTATTTACATAGCAATAATTTCAAATTAAGTAATATTAAATAGTATTTGAAAAAAACGATATTATAAATAATATTTAATGAATTATTTAATACATTTCAAGTTTTTTAAATATTAAACAGCATTTATAAATATTTAACAGATACAATAATTTTTTTAATATCAATGCTTTCACGCGAAAACTGAACTTTATTGGAAATTCTTTTAATATAAATTTAATCGCTATGCTGTATTAACGCTTAATTAAACATATGTGTTTTTATTTCGTGCTAATGTTTCTCACCTCCATCGCCAATCAGCCGCATTTGTACTAATGTGGGATCCTCGTTGTGATCTTCGAGGACCGTATCGTCGGTAACAGTCAGATCCTAAAAGAATAATCAATTAATCAGATAAATAAAAATTAGTATTATCAAAATTTATAAATTATCCTGGACAGATTTATAAAGCGCTTTTAATGTCAATTTTTCCATTAATGATTTTCACTTTCTTTAATTCAACCGATATAAATAATTTGCTAATAGCAGCGATACGGATAGAAATCGGATGTTCAATTATTTTCTAGGTTCATTGATTTCTTGTAAACGATTTCGCAATTTCGAAAAATTGATTGCATAATGAGTGTTAATTGATTTCAATTCTTTCGAAAAATTTCATGTCTTGTCCGATTAGCCATGGAATGTTTATCTACCAATTCGCGAGTCAGAGATCGGACGATCGATGGTTTGGCTTCTTATTAAGATTCGTCATGATCACCGCGTCTTCTTGTCAATACTTAACTGATCAGCTTAACTGATCAGCGGCGAGACAGAGTCGTCAGAAACGAGACGATGTGCGATCGCGATATCTATATGTGAATTTCTCTGTCAATACGATATCCGGCAAATTCTGTTTACATCTCACTCTTATTGAGAATATCGACTTTAAAGATAGAAAGTTTTATAAATTCGTACAAAATTTAGATTTTATAAATCTTCTGATCGAGATCGATCGAGCTCAAGATGCACAACTGTAATTGATAATAATTAAAAAGGATATGTCTGCAATATGTCTGATAAGTATCAGTTGGAAAATTCTCTTCTTATTTTCAATTGTTTAAAATTAATACACAAAATGTAAAAAATTTATTTCTCTCTTTTTATCCCTCTGTTCCTTTAATTTTTTTTCTGTATTAAAGTCTGCTGCCTCTCGGCACTTGCGTCTAATGTTTAACTATTTTTATTCTCATGTTTATTGCTTACTGCTTTATTACTGTACGTATTTGAACTTTACTCTCCTATAATATATAGCGCTATCGTTTTATATTGTCCATTTTTATACACTCAAGAAAGAAGTAATTTTAAGATATTAAATGTTTATTCTTGTGTCCATGTTTTAAACACTTAAAGTTTAAACTTTTTCAATAAACAAAATACATATTGTTTTAAATCCAAACATAGTGCTTTGTTTATTGAAAAAGTTTAAAACTGAAAATCTTTAAAGCGGGGTTGTTCTGCTTTTCAGTAAACTTCAGCTAACTATCTTATTCTCTTATTCTCTTATGTTTTTAATCTTTTATTCTTTTATTTATCCAATAGGTAAATTACCACATATGATTTATCTAAAGATATAACAACCGAAGTATTTAAAAAATGGAGACAAGAATAAAACATTTTAATATTTTAGAATTAAACACTTTTTTTTTAGTGTACTCTGTAATTTTTAGTTTATTTTTTGTCATCATTTTTCAGCATTTCCCATAACTCATATTTTTTTAATTCGTTGTACTGTAATCTATTGCGTTTTCTAGTTTCTGTTTAAAAAAAAAAAATTAAAGACAATACACATCTATTGTACTTTTCTGTTGCTCTTCGCGATATTTTATTTAAGTTTTTAAGAAATAACGTTAGAAACGTTAGAACGAAGACTATTCAAATAAACCTCAACAAGCAATCGATTCGATTTTGCTGATACTTTCAAGAAATATTCGAGACATATATATGTATACGAAAGAAATAAAGAGACAGAAAAGAAAAAGCGCGCGAGCGACAAAAACTTCTTCAGACAATTCAACCTATATTTTATGTTTCTTCGCCCTTTGATCTCCGCGCCTTTTCCGAAACATTTTCTTGTCGCGGACTATTTCAGGGATTTAGTTTTCCAATAGGAATGTTGCGCCACTGTCAAGGAAAATTATCGCTTTCTCACCGAAAGACAAGATGAGGAGGATTACATTCGTGACGACACGAGTCTGTCGTTCATTTCTCTATCTTAGAATGTTTAACGACAAAAATATTGAGAATATCGGCCAAAGAAAGAAAATTAAAAAACTCACTTTAAGTCACTTCAAGATGTGTTATCTTTAATCAATAACAATGATACAATGTTATAATAAATAAAATTAGTACAAATAAATTCGTATCAAAACATATCTTAATAAA